TCATCATCATCATCGAGTGGTTTCATTCATCAAAATTCTCCCACTCTTTTTGTAAAAAAGCTTTGCGAGAAAAAGGTCTTATCGTTAATCCTTTTCGTGATCGTTCAAAACGAGACTGTCATCGATTGTCCATGAATTTCGAGCCTTGAGTGGTCAGTTTTCAAGTTTGTCCAATATATTTTGTGGAAAGATACGTTACACGTTGAAGAGCGAAAATTGTGATGTCGTTGTCCTTAGCTTTTACGTTGCATCGATGGACAGTTTCTGTAAACAATATCTTGGTATTCTTTTATTTCGTCCAAATTATCATTTCGATAGATCCACGCCGGATCTACGCTTATTTTATTAATGTTTTTATGAAAACATATTTAGTTAATCGTACGATAGGTATCGTATAGAGATGAATTATTTTAAAGAAACGGATAGGTGAGAGATATGTTTGTAACATTAACGAAGATGTATTTATTTCTTGTTGAGCGTTATTTATTTATAGGTAGAAAGCAACGAGCAAGTATCTTTCGTTGCCCTTGCTAGAGAATATTGCTATTCAATTTTATTCTTAGTTTAGTTCTGCCAAGTGAGAGTGGAGGTTGGAAGCAGGGCAGGATTGATGGGGTAGATAGGGACAAAAGTCGTTAGCAGAAGTAAAAATATGATGATTAATCGAGGTTTTGACTCACGAGGTTCTAGTTAGGCTCTGCTTAGGCTTGGAGATCTCCATATCTTGAAAAACTAATATTATACTTAAAACGTTATGACCTTAGATCTATGAGAAGAGACATAGGTTTTGACAGCGTAGATCTTCGACCTTAAAGCCTCTGTCACCCATGGTATACTTTGAAAAATCCTCCCAAGCATAATGTGTCAAAGGGATAATTTAGAGCTTACAATTAGAAGTTCAGGGTTTAGAAGAAGAACTAAGATAAAATTTAAGAATAAGCATTTAGAACTTCATTCTTTCTTGGCACAGCTACACTATGTTTTTAGTAAATTACTTATTGTTATGATAAATTACCTTGCTCGTATTTGGTGCTTTGGAGAACGTTGTGCTAATGTTATTTAGAGTTATGAACTATTACATAAGAAATGAAACTCTTTTTGTTTTGTTGAATTTAAAAAGTACAATTGTTCTTTGGCAATTGTAGCAAAATTTTCAGTATTGATTGCTTCTTACATTATACGTACAGAACGAATATAATTCAAGTGTACGTATGTTTAGATCCACGATTTTGTTAGCACTTAAAAGAATGTTCGAAATTTCTAATTAATTCAATCTCATCTCATCGAGCAATGGAACGCAATTAATAACAAGCCTATATGCAATAATCACTTGATAGTCCGAAAGGACGTATAATTTAAAGTATTAATAATATCGACTTTTATTAAGGGATAAAAAGTAATTAGTGAACATTGCGAAACAATGTAATGCTATATTATAATACCATTTTGAAGTGTATACACTTTTAGATTACGGGGGTATAGATTCTAATATCTAGAACACAGGATTATTCTTCTGTAATTGATTCTTCTTTTTTTTTTTTCTTTTCTATTAAACTTTTTACATAATTCTGATAGCACATTCGATAGTACACATTGCCAGCTGAAATTTTGGAATCACTTGTCAATTTTTTTTTCAATAATCCATAAACAAATTTTAGTTCATTGTTTTTCTTCTTTTTTTTTGTACAGTAATTCCAAATTTTTGAGGCAGTGTGAATATACCTATATGATAGGATATTTAGTGCTTCAAAATTGTAAGACCTATGCAAGTTTATCGCAGCAGAAATTAAAGAATTTGTAAAGATTTTTTTTCTTTCATTTATGTGTCCCGATAGACTTGCATATTTCTATTGGTCCTACAATTTTGAGACGTTCTGTATACATACTTAAGTACGTATGTATGGTGCTCGTATGGTTTTACACGTAGAACAAAAATGTTCTGAAATACGGCAGTGCTGTATTATTAAGTGGAAGTATTGTGTACCTGTACACTGTTAATAGACGAAACTGTGTACGTTTATATATGTTAAGATAAAGATCCTTATTTATTTTTCAAAGATTCGACTCGTAGATGTTTGAAAACGACCAGTCAACGATTTTCTCGTTTCTTTCAATAATAATCATAAAAATCATGTTAATCTTTAATGCAATCTTCTACTTACTTTTGTTTAACAATAAGTAAATCTGCTTGATTTCATTGGCTACTAAATTTTGCAAATTTACTCTGCGAATAATATTAATTGCTATTTTTATATAATAGCTTTAACAAGGTGACAAGGTGCAAATTTTTTTGGAATTTTATACTTTTCTTGATGTCAAATTTTCCGTCTCGTTATTTTTTACAAAAAAGTACTAAAGTACTTGGGTCAAAAATTCATTAATTAAAAAGTTATCCCAGGGAGAGACCGCCAACCTCTCCCAGTCTCTCCCTAAGATATCTTTTTAACTATTCAATTTTCGACCCAAGTGCCATAATAATTTTTAACAGAGAATAAAAATACGCTTCGATTGACGTATGACAAAGTACACAATTCAATTAAAACAAATTAAGTTGGCCTTGAAATCTTTGCAGCGCTTCTACTTCAAAAGCTGATGCATCCCACTATGTTCCATTTAACACAATTCAGTTTTTCCTAATGACATTTTTTTTTAGCTTTGTTCAATTTAGAGCTTGGCCCAATTATATGGCATTTCCTGTTAGTATTCTTCATTGAAGCACTTCTTGAAGGCATTGGAAAACCTATGTACCTAGGTACTACTTTTCTTACAATTTATGAAAAAGTAACATAAATAAACGGCCAAGTATTACTTAGAAAAATGTCGACTGTACTATGGCAGTATTTTCTATACTTGTCATCTGAGGGATCACCCGTAACAGCTACTTTCTCGCAAGTCCTTGCTCAATTATCCATCATAATGTACAGAATGCCACAATGTAGGTCTGTCAGACCTACAGCTCAAACCATAGGCAAAGTTTGAACTGTTGAAACCACTATAACTTTATTAAATTTGATTTTTCAGTTTTGTAAGAATTTGAAATGGTGACTGGTACACCTTATGTTTAAATAATTATTATTGTGAATCAGTATTTTTCAAATTATTGCTGATAGCCTATAAAGGAATTAATTATTGTGATATAAAGGTACTGATAATTTTAAATTTCCTATATACCTTGTATTATTAAAATGTAATTTTTCAATAATAATAGTAATAAATGAGTATCTTAGAATTATATTTGGAATTGTTGAGTAAATTAAAATTGTTTCTATTTAGAGTAAAAGGTCATTGCAGAAGTTTGAAAAGTACTTGAATTGTTAATTAAATGAAAGTCGAATTAGGTGTAGGCTAGATTGATAAACTAGAAAAATGTCTTTTGACTATATTTTAAATTGAAAGTAGTAGTTAGCAATAAACTGTATACGTATATTTATAAAATTCTCGATAGATATTAATGTATACCTATGAGACGATTTAACAATAATAAAAAAACACTTTTCGAAACTTCTTCCTTTCGACAGTACAGGGTGTTTTAAAAATAAATATATGATCTACTTATGGGGGTATTATGGTTTGAGGTCCGGGAATGGTGTCTTCCGTGTTAAGGAAAAGAATATAATTAAGTTAACTTTGTATAATTTCTTTAATACTTCTAAACTTCCAGTTAATAAAATATTGTAGATAAAACTTATTCTTATAAATAACGAATTACCTATTATCTTATACAAATAAAAATACCATGAATTACATGGTGGTATTTAATTTATAATTATATAAAACTGAGAAGTTAATCTTATGTATATTTACTATAAAATTGTTTTCTGTATGAAATCTTGAAATAAAATTTCTGTACACGTACTGTAAATTCGGTAAGTGAATATTATACCGTATTCTAGTTTAATCAAACTCAATAGAATTCTGTACTCATTCTCAAGCTTATTTGTAAGCTTGATAGCTTTAATTTCTTGCTTAAATGTTGCTCGTATTTCCTTATCATTATTTTATCTAACCAAATTTTATCTAACCACTTACAATAATTATAAGCAAAAATTTATCTTAATGTAAAAAATCTTGTTTACGTTTCAGAACGAATTAACAGGACTTCGAAGTGCAGTAACATCTTACAATGGAATTGAAAGAAATGAAAACGTCATTTAAGAAAGACTGATAGTAGTTACAAAATATGTGAAATCATTCTTTTTTAATAAAAATGAATTCAATTTTGTGTAGTGGAAAATAAGGTTTCCTTTCGTAGAAAACTTATAAAGAAAAGAATTCCATCAGCCCCTTCGTCTGTTCATATTCTCTTTCTTTAAAAACAGCGGGTTCCCTAGCGAAGGGGCTTTTCTACAGTAGCGCCATCTGGTATTAAAAAATAGAACTATAGATAGGAATATTTTTTGCTCTCCTTATCGACAAAACTAAAAAGCTCATTTTTAACACCAAACCGTAGATGGCGATACTTGTTTCTAGAAGGTTTTTTGAAATAGAATAATTTCGATGAATATTCAACATTAATTTATTTAAAAATGAAGCCTCCTATGAGAAAATGTCACTCTACATTTTTTATGTAGATTTATCCTCTTTACCAGATCTGATGGTACCAGATCCAAAACACCCTGTAGAAATTGCTTAAAATGAAAGGAATGAAATGTTACTGCAACTAAACTAAGCTTTCTCAATAATTAACTTCATTTTTTACGAAATATTCCTTATGTATAGTATTTGCAATTCTATGGTGTATTTATTTCTATGATTTCATACAAAGTAATAATCCTTAACCCTTACGAACTTATATCTAACGTGGTGCAGAGTTGCTGGGTTATAGTACTAATTGCTGGTACAATAATTAACAGAACAAAAAAGAACGTTTGTAAAAATACGAAGAACAGAAGAATATACAGTGCGCATAAAAATATTTTATTTTGCAAAAACGAAAAAAAGAAATCTTTCGATAATACAGTAATAATATACGTATAATTTTGCACAATTATTAGATTAAACAATTCTCGTTTTTTTTTCAATTTATTTATCATTACACAATTATCCTTATTCGCCATTACAATTAATCTTTTTTTACTTCATTTAGGAATTATAATTTCTGACCTTGGAACGATTAAAGACTATCGTACTGAAATGTTGAATGATCAAAGTATAAATATTTGCTGATGACAATTTAATAAGGCACTTTGTGTCATAGCTGAAATATAAATGGTACTCTTTACGAATTAATCGACTTGGCAAACATTAATTTTGTTAACTGTAAATATCTATTTAATCATTCAAAGGCACACTGTAAATTATTGTTTCACAAGTATTATAATTATATCTTATCGATTAGCAAATTTATTGCGAAATGAATCTAATTCGTTCAGTCGAATAATAAGCGAGAATCATGTCTTTATATTAACAAATACTATCAACAATACTGATTAAATAAACATAAATTAATTTCAAATAAACATCTTATGTACATACACGCTTCTTGATCAAACTTCAAATGGTTCTTTCATTTCTCCACTTTTAATATCAAATTAAGATCTGCTTCACTTTTCAAAAAACAATGAAAGCTTAAGGAAAATTAACACGTTGAGTGTCACGGTGAAAATAATTATTTAAAATTATTGAAAGTATTTAAAATTCAATATTTATTGGAACAATTTGAACCAACCTGAAGGCCTCAAAATGGTAAACAAATAAAACGAACAATTTTCTTCTAAACTAACAAGGATATTTTTTTATTTCAGATATTCAAATGCAAAAGGACCACCAGAGCATTCAACGTGTTAAGAAGAAAGAAAAAACATTCATTTTAAAGAGTATCCAGAAGGGAATCTAAGAGATCTAATTGATTCTCGTCCCACCCCGCGGTGGCTATTAATAAACCAGTTAAATCATCTTCGCTCAAACTGACTTGGGTGGACTCCGGTATCTCCGAGAGACAGTCTGGAATCGGAGGGGACACGCTACTCGGAGGTGTCTCGTACAATGTTGACAAATTGTTGACCGAGGATGCACCATTGCTTTGCGTACTATTCGTTACCGTTGTTTTAGCTGGAGCGAAGTTCTTGGAGCCACGGATCCGCTGGGACATCGTTGCGCGACGTTTCGACTTCCTGCCCTCTTCCATCCTCTCCAGGTCCAGCTTCCAGAAGCCACCCTTGCCTGGCTCGTCCTTCGATCGTGGTAATTTCACGAAACACTTGTTCAATGACAAATTGTGCCGAATGGAATTCTGTAGAACATCAACGGTGATTTAATACCAGGTAGGAAGGGTAGATAAAAAGAAGGGCGAGGGTGGTTTAATACCTGCCAGGCTGGATCGGCGTACTTGTAAAATAAGAAATTCTCTCGGATCCACGCGTATATGTTCGAAAGGGACACTTTATTGTTATTTGCTCGCATTGCTAAACAGATAATCGTGGCGTAGGAGAAGGGTGGTTTTGCATCGGGGTCGGTTCGGTACTTTTCAGCATTCGCAGCGAGATCTGTTTAAAGTAGAATATAGAGAACGTTTTAATTTAGTAAGATTAGTATTATAATTAGGGGAGTTTGGGGAATAGGGTGCCCTTTTCAGGCACTGCTCCCTTAGTTTACGATAATTCGAAAATAATTCTTACGCTAATTTCTTTTACCTAATTCAGCTTTGATTAACGGTGAAAGCTTCTTTTTCGGTTGTCGCGTAACTGGCGGAGGAGATGGAGAACAGGGTGGCGTTGGCAAACTAGAGGCACTTGTAATGTCGAGCGATTGTAACCACGTAAGGCTCGTTAATTCCGCTTCGACACCGTAATCCTCACTATGCATATTCTCTTTGCTATCACAATCAATTTGTGTATCACTGTCGATCGTTTCCGCTTTCATTTTGACCATGTTTCATCGCATAAATATCGACCGCGTGCCAAGAACCTGCATAGAAATATGAAAAACGCAAATTCATATATTCTCCTATTATATCATTTCATATTTATATTTTTCAATCGAGGAGATCGTCTCCCAGGTAAATTCCAAAACTTAATAATATAAATTAATTTAATTATTTAAAACAAAGGAGTGTATTTCAATTCTTTGCTTAGTTCTGCTGATATTGATATTATCTAATAACTATAACTCAAATTTTGACTATTTTTGCAAAAATTAATTACAAAGTCACTTTAATTCACAGTGATGCTCGGTAGAAATAGAAATAAGGAGGAAATTTGAATTGATATCGTTACCTTACACGAAATCGTTCAAACACACCTTTGAAAATTTGATAAAAGCATCGGATGATTAACACTATTGCGATTTATTTACATCACGTTTGATCATATTCACTGACATGTGGAATAAAAACATCTAAACCGCATGATCGTTCGAATGAAACTAGTACTAAGGGGTAGTGAAAAGCCTGATAGACCCCCACTTTGAATCTACTTGTTCGCCGTAAAGCATTCGCCCTGGCTAGTGTGCGTGACAGGTGTTGGCTCTCCTCTGCAGGTGGACCATGTGTACCCACCTACCTTCCATTCGAACCTGCGTGCAAAACCTTTTTCCTTTTCTCTTCATTCCTATGACAGCGAAATCATTTTTGCCATGAAATTTCTATTTTTATGTCGAACAATCCTTGTTGCATTCATTTTCGCAATGTTCTTATAAAGAAAGGAGGTATTCTTTCAATTACTATGTAATATGAAACATTTCAATTTTTCTCTTTAATTTATTGTACATTATTTTATCCTGGTTTGGATACTACTAAATATAAATAGAAATTCTCGACATTCCCCCTTTTAAATCGTCATTTTTATTTTAAGTAACCCTGTTGCGTAGACAAAATATAAATGTGATCTTTCAAATAATGTGGTAAAAATAAAAGCTTAATCAATATTACAAGGAAGAGTTCTCTGAAGGTTTACAGTTACAGTTAGACAATATTTTCTGCATTATAATGCAACGTTTGCCTGCTTATCTGGCACCTGCTCTTTACAGCTTATGCTTCTACACATATTGTTCCATAATTGGAATATTTTGAAATTTTTGAGTAACTTGTCATATATAACTGACAAGATATTTATCTCGAGGCTGTAATAAAATAAACGTAAAGTTCTCGGAAGTAGAATAATATGACGTATTATTCTTTGAATAGATATTACTCATTGTTATCGACGTAAAACGAACGAATAGAATAACGATTCTGATGCGCATTTTACTTTATTTATCGTTTATGAATCATTCACATTTCTATTTATGTCATCAACATTTACATTCTTTCGGTACATTTTCCGCACGAATCAAATATCTTTAATTTTATTTATTCGCACAAAACCCTAAAGAAATATTCAGAAATGAAGAAACTAAAAAAGGTTTCTTTAAAAACAAGTCATAGAAAGATATAAAAATATCTGGGGTCTAATAGACCCTGCCTCGCCATTTATAGGTGAACAGTGGCGACAGTCTGATCGATAATGGAGGCATGGTATTGTAATCGATTGATTCTAATATTCCTTAAATGAAAAATTAATGAAAAACCCCTCGTTTCTTTCCTTTTTAATCGGTGTCTTCTCTGTTATCGATTTCAAACTGACACGTTTTGGTACATTTATATCAACCCTTTAGGTGCGAAGAATTAGAAAAAAAATAGCGGCCGGAGATCATTTAGTTGGTCATAGGCCAAAATGGGGGTGGTCGCGTAACCTAGACGTTCTGGTACAGGCACTTTCATTGATCGAATCAGGAAGGCAGTGACCGTCACTTACGATATCCCAGTCGCGAAAGGGAGGGGAAAGAAGCGCTGCTATTCGACCGCGTACAGAATGGCGCGTTAGATTTCCGAAGCCCGCATATTATTGGCTAACGTCCGTTGAGATCGTTAGGAGAAAATTTACCTGACAAATTCACCTGAAGCGCGGACGTGTGGGCGTTATTAGGACCAAAGCTTCTGTCCACCTGATCATTAGATCCTAATGGAATTCTCGAGTTTTACCCTTAATTTTATATATTATTAGTCTGCATAATTGGGTAGAGAGCTGGACGAAATGACCCTCCGAACAGAATTTATTGGAATAAATAAAAAAAATTGTTATCCCGACGTGGCCCACTCTAAACAAAAATCCTATTGATAATTTTAAAGAATATCTATAGAATCTTAGGATCTTAGAATTTTAGAATTTTAGGAGCTTTGAATCGTAAACTTTTAGAATTTTAAGAGCCTACAATCTTAGAACATTCGAATTTTAGGAGCTTAGAATCTTAGAATTTTAGAAGCTTAGAATCTTAGAATTTTAAGAGCTTAGAATCTTAGAGATTTTAAATTTTAGGAGATTAGAATCTTAATTTTTTGGAAATTTTGAAATCTTAGAAGCTTAGAATCCTAGAATGATGCGGAAGTTAGTCTACATTTTTGGGGAACCACCCTGGTCCCCGGATAGAATACCATAAATTTTCAGAATTCCATTACCATTGAGTAATGCCCCTTGTAAGGTACAGATACACCAACGTGTCGACGTTAGATTTCGTTTTTCAGGGAATTTCCGAGAAAAAATACGGATTCAATACGTTCCAGCAAAGTTCCGTGTCATGTGCATAGTGGAAGTATCTACGAGCCCGATCAATAATCTCCTGGGAACATCCGTTCCCCTGCTAGCCTATCCAGCTGGTCACCCCTGCAGTAATGATAATGGTAGCACCAGCAGCACCAGCAGCACCAGCACCAACGGTAGCAGCACCTGCTACCCTCCCTATACCGTGTCAGGTTGTGACTCATGACTATTTTCCGCCTTACCACCATCCACCATTGCCAATCGCCACAACAATACCTTCATAACTGTTATTCTATTATTTTATTTGATCGTAGAAAACAAACTCCCATGATTTATTCTCAGTTTCTCTGGGTTCTTTACCCCTTTCATTTTCACCTTCTAAATGCTTATATTTCATGAACTTCAAATAGAAAAAAAGATTTTTAAGGGTAACAAATAAAAGAATAAATATTATTAGGTTGAAAATATCCTTTATGCATTGAGCAGGTGGTAGGAATATGAGAAGGGTAGAGCCCACAATGATTTGCTTGAGAATAACACAATTCTTGACTTTTCTTTTAAAAAAGTAGGTTTGTAATTTCGTATGAGGTTTACTACCTTTATTATTAGTACCACGTTCTTTAAATCAAACGAAATAATCAAAACCCATGATTTCAACCCTGCAATAATCATATTAGAGTTATGGACCAACATTTCAAGTATTTTCTTTAGATTATTACAACCTTTAGAATATTTCAGTTGAAAAGTAAGAATGTCAGAAGTATATTGAAGAACTTACAGCAAACCTGTACTAAGAAAAATTTAATGTTTCCTTGAAAAGTGCTGATCGATGAGAGATCGATAATAGGGTTTAAATGCATCCCCTTAAGAAATGTTTATAGGTCATCGCACGAAACATGATGTGGACGTATTTCAATGGTTAACTTAAAAGACCAGATACCACCCCGAGAAGTTACGAATATAGACACGAATGTGAGTATAGATTTCGAGAGAATGATGGAGATCTCATCAAATATTCAAAGAAATTGATCCCGACGACAACCATCGCCGGCTATAGTAACGATTCTAAGGCGATGATAATTAAAAATCTGAACAAAGAAAGAAACTATTATACATACGGACTCACTGAAAATTAGTAAAACCATAATGAATTTTAATATTCAATGCAACCACAATAAGTATAATACTTACTTAAATCATATCACACACTAATTCACCAAAAACGAGATTTTTTAAAATTTTTATATTCAATTTGAGATTAGTAAAATAAAAAAAGAATCAGTAGATTTATTATTTTTCTACTTGGACTCTCTTTTAAACAAATTTTGATAATTTAAATATTATTATACACTATATTATATTGATATTCACAGAAATGTACGTAATTAATGATTACTCATTGTCTTTAATCTTTTACATCAGATACATGTTATTTAGCAACGAATTAAAAAAGATTTGGCAAGTAATTTAAATTAAGATCCAATGCTAGTTTGAAACTGCCATTACAGCCACCAACCACCATTGACACCATTCTACCGCCATCTTCTTACTCGTATGAATGATATCATCACTATCACAGATATACAACATAAATACATAAACATTGATAATACAAATGGGCTTGTAAAAATGGTCAATTATAATGAAAATTTATTTTCAACCACGTATGTTTACTAAGCAAATAGTTTAGGGATGATAATTTATTCGAAACGAAACAGATGTCTTTGTTAATATTAAAAAACTATAAAACATTAGTCTCTTTATGTAATTTTCAAATTTTTCTGGAATTAATACTATCATACTTTTACATTCCTTTTTTAGTATTTCAATACCTCAAAAAATCCTAAAAGTATGTGTAAAGGTATTATTATTTTCTATGAAAAAAATATTAAATTAACTTATACATTATTATTTTCATTCATTCATAATTCATAATTCATCTGTGCTAGTACTTATCATCCTTTGTAACTTGTTTTGTTCCCTTATAAAGTGTCAAATTTTTTAAACGCCTCTTGTATCTTTTCTTAAATTCTTTTTGCAACATTTGCAAAGGTTAAACATTAATTTTAGCGTCCTGTGTATATAACGTTCTATACAGAATGCATATAAATTATATATACGTATTTACAAGCATTAATTATACGTTATTTGTTCTATACATTATATATTGCGTATATTTTGGGGCCTCTATAAATATTTTTATTAAAATAAAAAGAAAATGCCAAATATAATTAAAGACTTGATTTTTCTAATATCAACGTGTAAATAAAAAAAAAGGAATTTATTATTTCATGTCGTAAAAGGTCTTGACATAAAGAAATAAGAACAATTAAAGGATAATGTAGTATTCATATTGTAATTCAATCGCATGTAATTTTCTTGTTACTAAACATGTTTTCGGCAACAAGGAAGCATATCATGACAATACTAAAGTTTTAATTTATATCCCATTTTACTTAATTCAACGAGAATAATAATCATAGTTTTTTCCTTCTTCCTCACTTATACAAAATAGATTAAATTAATACACAATAGATATACGATTCAGAAAATTGCAAAAAGTTGAAACACAGTATCTAACCTGACCATGTGTAACATTCATCATCAATACATATAATTAAACCATTTAACTATTGAAAAGATACCGCGATTTTATTACTACAAATTATCGTCACAAATGATAGGAATCAACCAATAATGTAACGTGTAAATAAATCATAAACGTGAAACATCTAATTGTTGTATAATTTTATAAATGTGTTTCATTGAAATCGTATAATTATTTCAATAAGAAAGCTGATTTAGAATTTCTTTCATTCTACATACTATTTAATAAATGTCAACTTGTCATTAGAACACTTCTAATTGCTATGTATATAAGAACTCTGTACCACGATAATATGATTCTACACAAAATGGTTTATTATCGACAATGATCGATGTTGATTGATTTCACTATCTACACTAAATTGTGCAAATAACCTACTCATTTACAATAATCAATCTTAAGATTTGAAAAATTATAGAAATTAAGGTACAAATGTGTATTATTTTTATATTTTCGGTTTAATGCCGATTAGTAGTAAAAGGCGTTAATCCCCTGAGAGTCATGTTGTCAAGAACGCCGCTTATGTACGTCGAAACATCGACAGTATCTTCTTCCGCTTTTCTAATAAAAGGATGTTCTAACAATTTGTTATACTTCGGCCTCTGAGTCTCTTCTTTGATTAAACTGCAAAGACAACGGTATAAACATTATTAAACAAATAAAACAATTTCAAAGTTATTATCAAAATTAATTTACCATGTATTCACAAAATTCACGAAATCCATGGTAAAATGATTTCCATTTTCGTTAGGAGACAATCGCGGTGGATCACCTTGAACCACTTGATAAAGCTGTTCAAAAACTGAATTCCATTTTGGATATGGAAAATATCCTGTTGCAATTTCCATTAATGTAATCCCTAGTGACCATACATCACTTCTGACATCATAACCCTTTGCACGCTGAGGGTCTATCCTTTCTGGCTGAAAGATTATGATAAATGAAGCACTTTAATTCATCTATAAAATTATGCTATCATTTTATTTAATGTTTTACATACAGCCATGTACGGTCTGCATCCAGCATCCCGAGTTCGGGCAATTGAATCTACCAACTGCCCTGATATACCAAAATCGCAAAGTTTTATATTACCATGTCGATCTAATAAGATATTACTAGGTTTTACATCTCTATGAATTATTCTTAATTTTTCCTTGAGGTAATTCAATGCCTTTACTGTGGCGACAGTAATTTTTCCTAAAATACGTTCCGGTATTCTTTCCTTTAATACCTCATGAATAAACTTATAAAATATATCTAATGAGGTGTCCATGAGCTCCATGCAAATCCAACAGTCACCCTAACCGAAATACGGAAGATAATTAAAACATC